TTACCACTTCGGAAAGCGTTGGCGCTGGTTGAAGAAGTGGTGAATGAAACTCCTGCAACGCTTCTATAATTAACGGGGAAAACCTGCCATATCTATGCCCATTGCACATTGTCTTGTCGATGGCAATAGTCGTCTCATCATCAGGGAAATAGAGGACGTGTTGTGGTCTCATTTGCGACGGCACGTACCTAGCGGTAGGGGTCTGTAGGTGACGGCACGTACGACTAACGGATTGGAAACGAACACGGTGAGCGCTGTTTCGATTTATAATCCGTTGCAGCTAAACAGTGGAAAACATTGAAAGATCTTGAATAAGGAAATTGTAACCCCAACACGGCGCTCAATGGCAGTTAGCAAGGTCCATGCTGTCAAATAATAATACTCAAGTTGTGGATAGGAGAAACAAGAGGTATATTGGTTTGAGAGTGGGATAGAGTAGAAGTAAATACATAATATAAATTCACGAAAACTTTATTCCAATCAAAATTAATAATAAGTAATTAATTTCGAATTGGATTTAATTAAAAAAAAAAAAAGATCGGTCCGGAAATGTACGAATGCAAAATCGAGAGATCACATTACATATCAATGCCAGAACAATAGAGGTTATAATAATGTATTCTTAAAAAAATATTATGTCTGTCCGTAAATTGCAGATTAAAAATTTAATTCAATGGAAACGCGCCGAAAATTTGATGCATAGAAGTTTGACGAGCACGAGGTCCAAGTACGATTAGTTTAACTGGCCGTTCAACTCCCTCAGAGATACGATTCTGGGTGGCTTCGTAGCCTCGCAGGTGCAGTAACAGTTTTTGGTGTTATTTGGACCTTCCGGTAGTACCATGAAGTGCAGATTCAGTTGAGCGTCCAAGGCTTCCATGATATCTGTGAAGGAGAATTTAGAGAATCATTCACTGGTACCAGGACATATTGTCATCACTTGCTCTCCATATCCGATGATATTCAGCGCTCGTCACGTTCCAAGCTAAATAGACTCAAAGAGAGAAACTTTAAAGGAGGCGTAGACATGAAGTTCAGGGGAGACATCCTCAGTTCTTGATCAGATACTGTGTTCGTGTCTTTTCGATGATCGAATGTACATTGGTTTCTTTACCATAGCTAACCCTCATTGTGCCCTAACCCAACATGAGATAGAACATCACTATCTCATTTGGATGCCTTTCAAAATTATTTCGTCTAAGATTAAACAGCATCTCTGTCTAAACTGAACACTGAAGGGAACTCTTGCTGTCGGTATAAATAAAAATATTTTATCAATATAAGAATAATCAATAATTCTAGTATTTTCTTTTATTTCAAAACAATTATTATTTTGATTGCCTATTAATACTAGTCACATAAGATTAAAATTATGACCTTCTACGCCCTTTTCATCCATCTATAAACATAATTTGTATTGAAATCCATTTACTATTCTCTCTTCGTCGCGTTTCTATCATTTATCCTTAAATTGGTGCTCACAAATTTAAATTACAAAATTATCTCATTAGTTAAGTTAAAATCAAATTATTGTTCGCTGCCAAGTTCTAGGTCCCCTTGCGTTACATCATTTAAAAATATTATAATTATAGAGAAGATAGTAAAAAACAAAGGCCCCTCAAAGTTCATTGTGTAAATGTGTCATTTATGATTTACGCAAGAGCAGTTGTAAATAAAGTAGAAGCCTATATATGGCCGACCAATGAGCAAAAGCCTCTGTACCTCGGGTATCGCCACCACGCGACCTCACTGCGAATTGGCGGAATTTGGAAGATCCAACTATATTTTTTTTGATATAATTTCGAAAATATGAAGAGCACGTGATAATTCAGCATTGAAGACTAACAATTTCGTTGTAGCCAGCAACGGGGATTTTGCTTACGTTGCTCGAGAATATTGAATTAAAGGCGAGCGCCCGGACGCTGAGATATCACGGAAGAAAAGTTGATCGACTGAAATTATCAAACAACGTACTGAATAAACAGCCAGCGTTAGAACGGCATTAGTTTTGCAAGAATAAAACAACGACCAATAACGTCATATGTTTCGAAATTCAAAAACATACCTACAGGATGAATTATTCTTACATGTGATACTAACTATAGAAATCGATCCTGACAAAAAGATTCCTTACTTCTTTTCAAAATAATATGGACAATATAAATAAAGACAAATAAAATAATTATTACCTCGGGTGCCTTGATTCTTCGAAAGTTTTCCACCTTTGGAATATGGATAGCAGTACATTGGCTCAGTGGGTTGACTTGTTTGCGGTGATCCAGACTGATTTGGTGCACCTGTCCCTCCGGGTTGATTTGTTACACCTTGTCCGTCGGTTGGACCTGAAGGACCTATCCCGCCAGGTGAATTTGTTGAACCTGGCCCTCCAGGTTTATTTGACACACCTTGTCCGTCGGTTGGACCTGAAGGACCTGTCCCTCCGGGTGTATTTGTTACACCTTGTCCGTCGGTTGGACCTGAATTACCTGGCCCTCCGGGTGAATTTGTCACATCTTGTCCGTCGGTTGGACCTGAAGGACCTGTCCCTCCGGGTGGATTTGTTACACCTGGTGCGTAGGTTGGTCCTGAATTACCTGGCCCTCCGGGTGGATTTGTTACACCTTGTCCGTCGGTTGGACCTGAAGGACCTGTCCCTCCGGGTGGATTTGTTACACCTGGTGCGTAGGTTGGTCCTGAATTACCTGGCCCTCCGGGTGAATTTGTCACAACTTGTCCGTCGGTTGGACCTGAAGGACCTGTCCCTCCGGGTGGATTTGTTACACCTGGTGCGTAGGTTGGTCCTGAATTACCTGGCCCTCCGGGTGAATTTGTTACACCTTGTCCGTCGCTTGGACTTGAAGGACTTGACCCTCCGGGCGGATTTGTTACACCTGGTCCAGTGGGTGAACCTGTAGTACCTGGCCCTCCGGGTGAATTTGTTACACCTGGTCCGTAGGTTGGACCTGTAGTGCCTTGCCCTCCGGGTAAATTTGTTACACCTTGTCCATCGGTTGGACCTGAAGGACCTGTCCATCCGGGTGGATTTGTTACACCTTGTCCGTCGGTTGGACCTGAAGGACCTGTCCCTCCGGGTGGATTTGTTACACCTGGTGCGTAGGTTGGTCCTGAATTACCTGGCCCTCCGGGTGAATTTGTCACATCTTGTCCGTCGGTTGGACCTGAAGGACCTGTCCCGCCGGGTGGATTTGTTACACCTTGTCCGTCGGTTGGACCTGAATTACCTGGCCCTCCGGGTGAATTTGTTACACCTTGTCCGTCGGTTGGACCTGAATTACCTGGCCCTCCGGGTGAATTTGTAACACCTTGTCCGTCGGTTGGACCCGAAGGACCTGTCCCTCCGGGTGGATTTGTTACATCTGGTGCGTAGGTTGGTTCTGAATTACCTGTCCCTCCGGGTGAACTTGTTACACCTTGTCCGTCGGTTGGACCTGAAGGACCTGTCCCTCTAGGTGGATTTGTTACACCTGGTGCGTAGGTTGGTCCTGAATTACCTGGCCCTCCGGGTGAATTTGTTACACCTGGTCCGTAGGGTGAACCTGAAGTACCTGGCCCTCCGGGTGAATTTGTTACATCTTGTCCGTCGATTGGACCTGAAGGACCTGTCCCTCCGGGTGAATTCGTTACACCTTGTCCGTCGGTTGGACCTGAATTACCTGGCCCTCCGGGTGAATTTGTCACACCTTGTCCGTCGCTTGGACCTGAAGGACTTGACCCTCCGGGTGTATTTGAACCCGAAGGACCTGTCCCTCCGGGTGAATTTGTTACACCTTGTCCGTCGGTTGGACCCGAAGGACCTGTCCCTCCGGGTGGATTTGTTACACCTGGTCCGTAGGGTGAAACTGTAGTACCTGGTCCTCCGGGTGGATTTTTTACACCTGGTCCATAGGTTGGACCTGTAGTGCCTTGCCCTCCGGGTGAATTTGTTACACCTTGTCCGTCGGTTGGACCTGAAGGACCGGTCCCTCCGGGTGTATTTGGACCTGAAGGACCTGTCCATCCGGGTGAATTTGTTGCACCTTGTCCGTCGGTTGGACCCGGAGGACCTGTCCCTCCGGGTGGATTTGTTACACCTGGTCCGTAGGGTGAACCTGTAGTACCTTGCCCTCCGGGTGAATTTGTTGCACCTTGTCCGTCGGTTGGACCCGAAGGACCTGTCCCTCCGGGTGGATTTGTTACACCTGGTCCGTAGGGTGAACCTGTAGTACCTGGCCCTCCGGGTGAATTTGTTACACCTTGTCCGTCGGTTGGACCTGAATTACTTGGCCCTCCGGGTGAATTTGTTACACATTGTCCATCGGTTGGACCTGAAGGACCGGTCCCTCCGGGTGTATTTGGACCTGAAAGACCTGTCCATCCGGGTGGATTTGTAACACCTTTTCCGTCGGTTGGACCTGAATTACCTGACCCTCCGGGTGAATTTGTTACACCTGGTCCGTATGGTGAACCTGTAGTACCAGGCCCTCCGGGTGAATTTGTCACACCTTTTCCGTCGGTTGGATCTGAATTACCTGACCCTCCGGGTGAATTTGTTACACCTGGTCCGTATGGTGAACCTGTAGTACCAGGCCCTCCGGGTGAATTTGTCACACCTTGTCCGTCGCTTGGACCTGAAGGACTTGACCCTCCGGGTGTATTTGGACCTGAGGGACCTATCCCTCCGGGTGGATTTGTTACACCTGGTCCGTAGGTTGAACCTGTAGTGCCTTGCCCTCCGGGTGAATTTGTTACACCTTGTACATCGGTTGGACCTGAAGGACCGGTCCCTCCGGGTGTATTTGGACCTGTAGTACCAGGCCCTCCGGGTAAATTTGTCACACCTTGTCCGTCGCTTGGACCTGAAGGACTTGACCCTCCGGGTGTATTTGGACCTGAGGGACCTGTCCCTCCGGGTGGATTTGTTACACCTGGTCCGTAGGGTGAACCTGTAGTACCTGGCCCTCCGGGTGAATTTGTTACACCTTGTCCGTCGGTTGGACCTGAAGGACTTGTCCCTCCGGGTGTATTTGGACCTGAAGGACCTGTCCATCCGGGTGTATTTGGACCTGAAGGACCTGTCCATCCGGGTGGATTTGTAACACCTTTTCCGTCGGTTGGACCTGAATTACCTGACCCTCCGGGTGAATTTGTTACACCTGGTCCGTAGGGTGAACCTGTAGTACCTGGCCCTCCGGGTGAATTTGTTACACCTTGTCCGTCGCTTGGACCTGAAGGACTTGACCCTCCGGGTGTATTTGGACCTGAGGGACCTGTCCCTCCGGGTGGATTTGTTACACCTGGTCCGTAGGTTGGACCTGTAGTACCTTGCCCTCCGGGTGAATTTGTTGCACCTTGTCCGTCGGTTGGACCCGTAGGACCTGTCCCTCCGGGTGGATTTGTTACACCTGGTCCGTAGGGTGAACCTGTAGTACCTGTCCCTCCGGGTGGATTTGTTACACCTGGTCCGTAGGGTGAACCTGTAGTACCTTGCCCTCCGGGTGAACTTGTTGCACCTTGTCCGTTGGTTGGACCCGGAGGACCTGTCCCTCCGGGTGGATTTGTTACACCTGGTCCGTATGGTGAACCTGTAGTACCTGGCCCTCCGGGTGAATTTGTTACACCTTGTCCGTCGGTTGGACCTGAAGGACTTGTCCCTCCAGGTGTGTTTGGACCTGAAGGACTTGTCCATCCGGGTGGATTTGTAACACCTTTTCCGTCGGTTGGACCTGAATTACCTGACCCTCCGGGTGAATTTGTTACACCTGGTCCGTATGGTGAACCTGTAGTACCAGGCCCTCCGGGTGAATTTGTCACACCTTGTCCGTCGCTTGGACCTGAAGGACTTGACCCTCCGGGTGTATTTGGACCTGTAGTACCAGGCCCTCCGGGTAAATTTGTCACACCTTGTCCGTCGCTTGGACCTGAAGGACTTGACCCTCCGGGTGTATTTGGAACTGAGGGACCTGTCCCTCCGGGTGAACTTGTTGCACCTTGTCCGTCGGTTGGACCCGGAGGACCTGTCCCTCCGGGTGGATTTGTTACACCTGGTCCGTATGGTGAACCTGTAGTACCTGGCCCTCCGGGTGAATTTGTTACACCTTGTCCATCGGTTGGACCTGAAGGACCGGTCCCTCCGGGTGTATTTGGACCTGAAGGACCTGTCCATCCGGGTGGATTTGTAACACCTTTTCCGTCGGTTGGACCTGAATTACCTGACCCTCCGGGTGAATTTGTTACACCTGGTCCGTAGGGTGAACCTGTAGTACCTGGCCCTCCGGGTGAATTTGTTACACCTTGTCCGTCGCTTGGACCTGAAGGACTTGACCCTCCGGGTGTATTTGGACCTGAGGGACCTGTCCCTCCGGGTGGATTTGTTACACCTGGTCCGTAGGTTGGACCTGTAGTACCTTGCCCTCCGGGTGAATTTGTTGCACCTTGTCCGTCAGTTGGACCCGATTGACCTGTCCCTCCGGGTGGATTTGTTACACCTGGTCCGTAGGGTGAACCTGTAGTACCTTGCCCTCCGGGTGAACTTGTTGCACCTTGTCCGTCGGTTGGACCCGGAGGACCTATCCCTCCGGGTGGATTTGTTACACCTGGTCCGTAGGGTGAACCTGTAGTACCTGGCCCTCCGGGTGAATTTGTTATTACACCTTGTCCGTCGGTTGGACCTGAATTACCTGGCCTTCCGGGTGAATTTGTTACACCTTGTCCATCGGTTGGACCTGAAGGACCGGTCCCTCCGGGTGTATTTGGACCTGAAGGACCTGTCCATCCGGGTGGATTTGTAACACCTTTTCCGTCGGTTGGACCTGAATTACCTGACCCTTCGGGTGAATTTGTTACACCTGGTCCGTAGGGTGAACCTGTAGTACCTGGCCCTCCGGGTGAATTTGTTACACCTTGTCCGTCGCTTGGACCTGAAGGACTTGACCCTCCGGGTGTATTTGGACCTGAGGGACCTGTCCCTCCGGGTGGATTTGTTACACCTGGTCCGTAGGGTGAACCTGTAGTACCTGGCCCTCCGGGTGAATTTGTTACACCTTGTCCGTCGGTTGGACCTGAATTACCTGGCCCTCCGGGTGAATTTGTTACACCTTGTCCGTCGGTTGGACCTGAAGGACCGGTCCCTCCGGGTGTATTTGGACCTGAAGGACTTGTCCATCCGGGTGGATTTTTAACACCTTTTCCGTCGGTTGGACCTGAATTACCTGACCCTCCGGGTGAATTTGTTACACCTGGTCCGTATGGTGAACCTGTAGTCCCAGGCCCTCCGGGTGAATTTGTTACACCTTGTCCGTCGCTTGGACCTGAAGGACTTGACCCTCCGGGTGTATTTGGACCCGAAGGACCTGTCTCTCCGGGTGGATTTGTTACACCTGGTCCGTAGGGTGAACCTGTAGTACCTGGACCTCCGGGTGGATTTGTTACACCTGGTCCGTAGGGTGAACCTGTAGTACCTGGCCCTCCGGGTGAATTAGTTGCACCTTGTCCGTCGGTTGGACCTGAAGGACTTGACCCTCCGGGTGTATTTGGACCTGAGGGACCTGTCCCTCCGGGTGGATTTGTTACACCTGGTCCGTAGGTTGAACCTGTAGTGCCTTGCCCTCCGGGTGAATTTGTTACACCTTGTCCATCGGTTGGACCTGAAGGACCGGTCCGTCCGGGTGTATTTGGACCTGAAGGACCTGTCCATCCGGGTGGATTTGTAACACCTTTTTCGTCGGTTGGACCTGAATTACCTGAACCTCCGGGTGAATTTGTTACACCTGGTCCGTAGGTTGGACCTGTAGTGCCTTGCCCTCCGGGTGAATTTGTTACACCTTGTCCGTCGGTTGGACCCGAAGGACCTGTCCCTCCGGGTGGATTTGTTACACCTGGTCCGTAGGGTGAACCTGTAGTACCTGGCCCTCCGGGTGAATTTGTTACACCTTGTCCGTCGCTTGGACCTGAAGGACTTGACCCTCCGGGTGTATTTGGACCTGAGGGACCTGTCCCTCCAGGTGGATTTGTTACACCTGGTCCGTAGGGTGAACCTGTAGTACCTGGACCTCCGGGTGGATTTGTTACACCTGGTCCGTAGGGTGAACCTGTAGTACCTTGCCCTCCGGGTGAACTTGTTGCACCTTGTCCATCGGTTGGACCTGAAGGACTTGACCCTCCGGGTGTATTTGGACCTGAGGGACCTGTCCCTCCGGGTGGATTTGTTACACCTGGTCCGTAGGTTGAACCTGTAGTGCCTTGCCCTCCGGGTGAATTTGTTACACCTTGTCCATCGGTTGGACCTGAAGGACCGGTCCCTCCGGGTGTATTTGGACCTGAAGGACTTGTCCATCCGGGTGGATTTGTAACACCTTTTCCGTCGGTTGGACCTGAATTACCTGAATTACCTGGTCCGTAGATTGGACCTGTAGTACCTTGCCCTCCGGGTGAATTTGTTACACCTGGTCCGTCGGTTGGACCCGAAGGACCTGTCCCTCCGGGTGGATTTTTTACACCTGGTCCGTATGGTGAACCTGTAGTACCAGACCCTCCGGGTGAATTTGTCACACCTTGTCCGTCTGTTGGACCTGAATTACCTGGTCCTCTGGTTGTATTTGGACTTGATGGTCCTGGCCGCCCGGGTTTATTTGTTACACCTGATCCTTTGGTAGGACTTGATGGTCCTGGCCCTCTCGGTTTATTTGTTACACCTGGTCCGTTGGTTGGCGAACCCGTCCCCCCGGGGTCATTTTTTTTGACGGGTTTGTTCGGATTACTCGGACTTCCATTTTTACCTGGCCCCTGTGGTGTTTTGTCCCTCCCATGTTGTTCTATGAAATGGAGCGCTTTCAATGCATCTGAAAAAGAACGTTTAATTTACTTTTTTAATGTTGATAGCAAAACGAAAATTAAAAAAGGAATATGATATACTAGCTGCTACCCGCGACTACGTCTGCGTAGAATAGGCTGAAGCCGTAAAATTCAGACAGAAAGACTGGTATTTGCGTGAAAAAGTAACAAACATCTATTTGTACATCCAACAATTTCAGCTTTATAATAATTAAGTAAGGATAGTTAGAATGTCAGCGGACGTTTCAATATGTGCCGTCATATTGTGCGGTACACCCCATATAAAAAGTTATAGAATATTTTTTTTTGTTTCTTTATCAAACATGTGTAGTTAAACTTGCTTAAACTAAAGAAGTCAGTAAATGATATTGTATTTACCAATTTTGTCGAATTTCATTTAGACTCGACAAAATTTTTAACAATTTTAATGGTGGCGGCATCGTAATCGGAACTTAAGATTCTCACGTGTACTAAATTGAAAGTGTGCGTAAGAAGGCGTAAGATGCGCAGTTTATCTTTTAATCGTTCTGAATCTCTGATTTACGTTAGGTGCGTATTTATTTTTGACTGACGGATTGTAGCAGACTTGCTTGTTTTACGTCTAGGATATTATTATTACAACCACCCCACATTACTGTTTTGAAGCATCAAACACAATTATAACAATTAAAAAAAGTTTGGGGTATATAAAGTCTACTTACCAGTTTGTCCAGTTGCATGTCGCAAGCGCCTCAGTGCCTCCATGAAATCTAACGAACAAAAAAGCACAAAAAAAATATTACTACATTAATGATATCAGTGTTTATATTAGAGCAGTCACTGCTCACTCTAGTTTTTATAAAGAGAAAAATAAAAAAAAACAACATGGAACACTTAATCGGTTAACAGATTATTATTTATTTTATTTCATTTTTTATTTAAAATTTATTGTTTACACCTCAACTTAAAGCTAAACAAAAGGCAAACTTAATGCTAATAAGCATTCTCTTCCAGTCAACCCTGGGAGTAGAGCTTGACGCAGGTGCAAAATAAATTAAAGTAAGTTAAAATAAGTTGAAATTATTATCTATTTCCATAACTACTAACAATATTTCCCAGCCGAATCTAGAAAAAATTATAAAAAACTCAAGATCCGTTGAGCATACATGAGTTAAATCGATAGTTCTTCGACCACCCCAAAATAGTTAATCTACCACTCCTGTTACAAACTGTACAGATTTATTGACGCAGTAAAAGTAACATTTCACTGTTGCCAATTAAATCCTAAAGATATCAAAGATGGACTTAGCAAAGCGTAAGGAAATGTAAAGTAGTTAGTTAATAATAGTGGACTACTATTATTAATTAACTACTATGTATTAAATAAAAAATAACTACTATACGTTAAATACTCTTTGGCTCTAAAGTTGCACGATGCGTACTAAGTGACTAGTTACTGAGACATATTTTTAGTCATTCACGTATTGCAAATGTAACAAAAACTTTCAATTAAATCATCGCTTACATCCATATGCCGAGAATTTAATATTGTACACGTGTGTAAAGGAACGATGTCAATGCATTAGCTCCGGTAACTTCACTCTTTCCCTTCAGGGGCGGAGGCTCATGATAAAACATTGACGCGAACTAAATGTTTATTACATTTAGTTTGGTCGCATGTGCGTCAATGCATTCACAATAATCCCTCAGGATCTGCATACATATCTCTGTGTTCCGTATTCGTACGTTCGCGTATTTAGGTATTCTATTTTAGGGTTGTTCCATGGTAATTCATTCATCATTGAAAACCATTTAGAATAGTCTTACCAGAGGTTTCGGTCCACTTCTGCACGACAAACACAGAGTCTTGCAGCTCTGAGAAGAGGAAAAAAATCATATAAAATTCGTGGTGATGTCGAGAATATTTCTCATGAGGGGAAAGTGAAAAGTGACATCATGGGCACGATCCTCATTGACGTAATTTCCTTAAACGTTATAATTTAAAAATGGCCAAAGTAACTTACGAACTTAAGTGGTAATTTACGAACAGAAGTGGTAACTTACGAACGTGTTAATTTATTTGTAAAATTTTGACGTTTCATAAGAACGCGCAAGCGTCTATGTGAATAAAGATATTTTATTATTATGTTGGGGATATTTCTTTGTTTTCTCGTCTGGTTGGGTTAATAGATAAAAAATAAACATATAGATATATATTGCATATAAAAAATAAATATTATGGATAAAAATAAACATATACATATAATTATATATGTATATGTACATGTTACATATATTATATTACATATACATATATTATTATTATTATTAAAGTCCTCCTCCGTACTATTTTATAGTCCACCTCGCGACCCCACTGTGAATTGGCGAACTTCGTATGTCTTGCTTCACATATATATGCAGTGATAATATTTGTTACGATAATGTTATGAGTTTGATAGTGTATCCGTATTATTTACTTACGGAATTTCTTGCTTAGAGTGATCATCGCCTCGAAGAAACGGACGATATCTGTAATTTTAAACGACCAAATTGTGTGAATGCACAACGGACAAAAAATATGAACGGAGCCGTTCATAGTGAAACATTCATCTATAAAATTATTTGAAACTGATTGCATAATGCGATCGCTGATTGAAATTCAGATGTAAATTTTTTTTTCAAACCATCAGAGGCACCCTGACCATTTTCATTATCATGTAAGAGTCACAAAGAAAAATAAATTTAACATCCTGTACAACTAAAACTGACTGATTCATACATTTAGAGAATTTTTCATTACGTCGCGTTACAAGTCTCTCCTTCTAGCAGTATGTTTTATCTCTTTCAAATGCATTCAACTAATTCATACGCTTGGTGACCATTACAAAGGAACTTTACGCCACAGTTTTATACGAACGGATGTTCTAAAATTATTTGTTTCGGAAAATTAAATATCTCTATGTGTGTTTATTTAAGGTCGCGATAGTAACTCCACGTTTTATATATTATTGTTATGACGTCAGGGGTCGTGGGTTCGATTCCCACACGGGACAACTATTTGTGTGAACCACAGGTAGTTGTTTCGCATCTGGGTGTTTGTCCGCGTGAAATTTATGTTTGTAAAACGTCCCTACAACACAGGATAATGTTATCCTAAAGTAAGGGCAATGTAAAAATAAATTAAAGAAATAAAAAAAAGAGTGGGAACATAGCCGCACAGTTGCTTGCCCTTTCTTATCTGAACTGGCCTAAATTCTTGAACCGGCGGTAGTTTTTTTGTTACTTTCAATAACTTGTTGAATAGTATTCTGATGATAGGCCATAAGACTACTATTCAACATCTGTTTTAATGTCACGTTTTTGAAATCGGAATCCTTAGGGCGAAGGTCCCATAAAAATTTGGTCGAGGTTTCTTAATGGGATGACAAAGTAAATCCTTCTATTTCTTTCAATTATTTGAACTAAGTTGAGGCTAAAAAAGGCATTATGACGAAAATTTAACACAGAATTTGTGACACGGTTTCATTAGCATTTTTATATTAAAGCAAAGAAATATTTCTATCCATTGATAAAACATAACTATATAACTATAAAAATCTAACTGTGGTACGGCCACGCAACAGTTTACGCTGTTGCAAGTATGGGCAGATCAGTCCGGGTACGTAGCACGACCTCACAGAAGACCGGCGTGATGTGGAAACGTTAAACTTCTGCGTTTCGTCTGGTGAGTGAGGTAGCCGGGGCCCAATTCATTTAAAGTTAGTACGCATCTGCAACACTACTGGTGTTGCAAATGTCAATGGGGCCTTACTGAACATCAGGTAAGCCGCCAGCTTGGTGGCCACCTTCTCAAATAAAAAAAAAACTTACCAGTGTTTAGGATGGTGTGAATCGAACGAAGGCACGAGAAAAATCCTGTGAACAAAATATTGAATTACAAAAATTTCAACATCATCGTTAACCATCATCTTTCAGATGACAATCCTATGTTCAATGATTAACCTAATTATTACTTTCTTTGTCATTTAAAAGATACTATAATTATTTAAACTTCCAAGTGGAAGTCTTTATTTGGGGGGTACCGCGTATTTGTACGAGGACTACATGCAATGATATTTTAATAAAAACTAGTGATCGACGAGTGGTCGAAATTCGACCATAATTATTTATTACCGTTAGTTAATTTCTCATCTGTTCAGTCGGATTCTTTCTATATATACACGCCTTTCAATATTACCGAACCTTTCTGTAACACCCTGTATATATCCGATTCTAGCGTACGTCAAATCGAACTCCAATTGCGCCAGTTGGTGTCATTAGATTGAAATTCTATAGACTGCAATCTGCCACATTCACTGTCATATATGTCATATTATAATAATTTAAAGCGGGACAATTTTTAATCGCCATACAGTAGGCATCATCTATATATTAATACGTGAAGCAAAAACTTTGCACTTTTTACGAAAATTGCGTGGACGGAGGAGTATGAAATTTCCCACACTTATAGTATATATAGAGGAGTGCAGGATGCTAATATTATTTTTAAATATGCATAAACGATACACTAAATCAGTATAGAAAACATTAAACACGCATATATCTGTTTTATTGTTTATTGTGTATTGTATTTGAGAATAGATTAATATTGTTTAAGCTAGCTGACCCGGCAAACGTTGTTTTGCCATATAAATTATTTGTAGGGTAGAAAAAAATGTTCGGGGTGGACCACCCCTAACATTTAGGGGGATTGGAGTTCAATTACAAACACCTTGACACGAGAATTGTAAACATTAGACAGATTAATTACGGTCGAATTTCCATCCGACCGCTCGGCGTCGACTGGTGCATGTAAAGATTTATGTAGTTATAATTCTCTATAATTCTCCGTTCGTATTCGACTTGTCGTTGCGACTGTAACACGTACCGCGTTGCCCTGTGTACTTGATCAGCACCGAGGTGGCGGCGCGCAGACTGCTGGTGCCGGTGGCCCTGAGGAAGGACTGCAACGCGTCCAGGAAGCCGGTCTCCGTGTACAGGTACATTGTTTCGATGACCACAAAGATGTCTGAAAGGATAATGCGGGCGTCGGAAAAGATACGAGGCAACGGCACGTTATTTATTCATTCATTTAAACTTTCTGCACAAAACTGTTTTTGTACAAAGTTAATGCCATCAGCACTATCGCCCAGTCAACCTTGGGCCGCTCCAGAAAACTTAGGGTAGGTGCATTTATTACAAATTTACAAAAACAGAAAAAAAATAAAGCAATCAAAAGATTTTTAAATATGTACATTACATGTTAAATCTACTAACAAAATACTACAACGTTATATCAAACAAAATAAAGAATGATAATATCAGAGAATCAAAAGAGAAGAATTAAGAATAAATACCAAATAAAGAATAAAGAATAGAGAAGGATAAAGAATAAAGAACCATATTTATAGAGAAGGATAAAGAATAAAGAACCATATTTATAGAGTAAAACACAGAGAGTAATTATTTTCATACAATAACAGTAAAGTAAAACAATAATATGAAGTGATGTTTGATTTGAAAGAAGTTCTTTTTTTTTATATGAGGTGGTAAGCGAGCTGGCGAGTCACCTGATGTTAAATGGTAACCGCCGCTCATCGACTTTTGCAACACCCGTAGACGTACCGTAGACGGAGCTGTCTATTCGTGCAACAGCCGTAGATGTTGCTACTTTCGGCGATACGCTAATTATTTCTCTTTTAATTAACGCTCTTGCGAGGAAACAGTACAAATATCTATTCACCCACTATAGACATCCACAACAGCCGTAGAGTTCCATATACCTTGTCTTAGAGGCAAGTACATGACTCCCACTTCGGCTCCTCCGTGTGAATTGCGTATTATTCACACTCTATTCTAGTCCCACTACTTACCGATCTCGTATGTGACGGATCTGAACATCTCCCACGCAGTTTGGATTGCTGTAAGAAAATCACAAGGATATGTAAGATGGTATAACTAAGTAAAGCCTATACATGTCCCAATAATAATAATAAATAAAATAATAAAATATCTTTATTCACATAGACGCTTGCGCGTTCTTATGAAACGTCAAAATTTTACAAGAAATTAACACGTTCGTAAGGTACCACCGGTTCGGAAAGCAGTTTCTGTTGAGAAGAAACCGGCAAGAAACTCAACAGTTGCTCTTTTTAAAAAAATCAGTTTACAATATAATAGTACATGTACAATAGTCTTGTTTTAGCCTACGTGAGTATCAACAGTATTAACCCCACACATTGGCGTCGTCAAGATATTCGGCAATAGTATAATAGGCTTTAGCCATAAGTGTACTTTTAATTTTTCGTTTAAATTCATCAAGTGGCAGACTTAACATCGACTGTGGGATTTTATTATACATGCGCACACTTTGCCCCATGAACGATCTGTTTACTTTTTGTAGGCGAAATAATGGCGTTGTTAGTTTGTCAATGCTGGGCAAAGGCCTCCTCTGTGCAGAGGGCATCAGGCATAGTCTACCGCGCGGCCCCACTGCGGATTGGCGGAGTTCAGATATCTTCGAAATTTATATTTTTGTTATTATTTCTAAAATATGCAGGTTTCCACACGATGTTTTCCTTCACCGCTGAGCAGGATAATACGGCACTTGAAATTGACGATTTCATTGGTGCCGGCAACGGGGATCGAACTCAGGTTGCTCGAGTATATTGAATGTCCGGGCGAGGGACACTGAGCTATCACGGCTCAATGAGGTACTATGAACACATGAGATAATATAAACAAAAAAACAGAAGTTCAATGGGCTTTTGATGTTAATGGGGTTGTCGGATATAACACTTGACAACTTGTTCAATCTTAAACGTGAGAATGGTTCTTTGCGTCTATAAATTTAGAAAGAATCATCAACTGACAGGCCAAGACATTTTGAAGAGGTTATTAATATTATTTATGAAATAAATGAATCGATATCTGGGAAATAATTCCTACGCCAGAGGACGTTAACATAAACGATTCAAAGTTCACCCAGGTTCTGTAATAACCCCAGCCCAACAGTCCCGGGCTCATAGAATAGGGCTAAGGTCCCGCCTGTCGGTATGGATGGGTGTGAGATGGGCAGCAGCACGAAGTGGTCTCGTGCTGCTGCAGGAGGGTGAGGGGATCGGAGAAGGTTCATCCTTCTCCGAGGCGTGCTCAAGCGTAGTGCCGAGGGACACCGGTGTGTTCCATGGGAGATCCCAGAGTCCCTCCAAATGTACGGAAGGCGGCCACCGAGGGAGTTTTAGTGGGTAAGAACCCCACATAACCCTGTCATATAGAGTGACAGTCTTTCGAAGATTTCCCCCCCGATACAAAAAAAAAGGTTCTGTAATAACCCACAAATTTATAGATCACGCAACTTTTCGTACCCTGTGGGGTATACTACATAAGTTAGTATACTTATATTAGTATATTGATATATTAGTAATTTCACGTGTTTGCTCATATAGTTGCTGTGTAAAAGCCTTGCATGGACCTCACTACGAAAGTATGTCAAAATAAATTTGCGAAAAAACAACAGAACAAACCAAACCATTCATCGTTCCTTGAAATTTGTAGAAAAAGGCCTAAAAGTGTTTCGTGACTGCGGGAATCGAACCCCGTGAAATCCGAATGAGCGCCCCAACGCTTTAACCTACTGGTTAGCTTAGTAGCTAAGCGGCTACTAGACACACCAAAGAAACTTCAACGTCTTTTCTACAATGCTTGGCTCGTCTATTGTTATATCCTTTACATATGTTATATTCATCAGTTATACCATGTATATGGGGGAATCGTTTAAGTTGTGGAAGAGCGAGGGTGCTTTACGGTGTCCGAACGGCATTGCGCGATACGATAACTTACATCTCGACGTCGTGTACTCTATGATCTTCCTGAAGAAGTAAATGATGTCTGTCTGTTTGGATTTCAACAGGATTTGCTTCAATATATCCAATACGGCCACTGTAAATAAACATTAAAATAAAATCATTTCAAACTCGGACTCCTGTTCTAAACAATTTACTTTGGTTATATCACTTGAAGAATCCAACTCGGATGGGCAGCGTTCGGGAAGCTATGCGATATCTTTTCTTCCAAGATTCCACAGTGCCTAAAGACAAGGGCTTATAACCAGTGTGTGTTGCCAGCGATTACGTATTGCGCTGAGACGTGGTCTCTAAAAGTTGGCCTATTGGAGAAGCTCAGAGTCACACAACGAGCTATAGAGAGAGCTATGCTCGGAGTTTCTTTGCGCGACAAAAATCCGGAACGAGGAAATTCGCCGAAGAACTGCAAGAATCTGCAAGTTGAAGTGGCAGTGGGCAGGCCACATCGCTCGAAGAACTGATGACCGATGGGTAGTAAAGGATCCGAGTGGCGACCACGAACCGGGAGACGTAGCGTTGGAAGACCTCCCTCTAGTTGGACCGACGACATCATAAGAGTCGAGGGCAACCGATGGATGCAAATCGCAGTGTCGTTTGTTGTGGCGTTCTAAAGGGGGAGGCCTATGTTCAACAGTGGACGTCTTGCGGCTGATGATGATGATGATATGAATACTCATACTGTATGTGAATATAACAGCGGCCGGCACCAAACGGTACGGACACAACTTTTTTGAAAGAAATTTAGTGAGAAAATCTCAAAAACGATTGATCGTACATAAGTAACAACAGTTTCCAAAATGCACTGCAGGTGTCCATTATTTCATAATTATGTTGTTACGTGATCATCAGATGTTCTCGACTTGATATTTCAGAAGAGAGCTCAGAAGGAAGTTCATATAGAGAAGTATGAGAGAAATCTGTCCATTTGTAATATCCACAATTTTCATTTTTGTTATGTTGTTAAAAAATACTGCTATTATTATAATTTTTTAGAGATCGGACAATCGGTCATGAACCAAGTGTTTTACTAATCCATTGTTAGCATTTAATTTAATTTCAATGAAATAACTGTTGCATGTCGTTTCACCTTTAATTAACAGACCATTTAAGCATGTTTCGATGTGTGTCTTGTTGGTGAAGTAAATAAATATATGATGTTTCAGAAACAAAAAAACACTCGGCCTCTAAAAAATCCTTATAAGTGTGTCGAAAAGATAACTTGCTTACTTTTCTTAGTGGTCAAGGATCGGATAACTGTGCAGGCTTCTCTGATATTCTTCGATTCGGTCAACAGTATCAACTGTGTGAGGACGTTTATTGGATCCTTCTTGTTGGACAATACCTTAATCCGCTGGAAGAGTGTTATCAAATCTGAAACGAGAATAATGAAAGTGCTTCGTTCGTCAGTCCGTTACCGGAATGGCGTAAAGCACAAGTTGTTGATTCTATTACACCGAATGGTAGTAAAGTTAAAGGTCGTAACAAGGTAGGTTAGGTTACATTGTATGGATTGCTTGCTTAACTGTACTACCATTTTACTTACATACTTTAACTTTACTAACATCGATAGGACGGCTGAACTCACGTCAAACCGGTGTATGTATTTCCGAAACTAGTCGGTACATACACCGGTTTAACGCGAGTTCAGCCGTCTTATTATTAAGTTAATAAAAAAGTAACAGCCTATACATGTCCCACTGCTGGGCAAAGGCCTCCTCTATACAGAGGGTATCAGGGCATAGTCCACCACGCGGCCCCACTGCGGATTGGCGGACTTCACATATCTTCGAAATACATATATGTATTTTTTGTTATTATTTCGAAAATATGCAGGTTTCCTCACGATGTTTTCCATCACCGCGGAGCACGTGATAAGTCAGCACTTAAAGTTAAAAACTTCATTGGTGCCGGCACCGGGGATCGAACTCAGGTTGCTCGAGTATATTGAATTAAAGGCGAGCGCCCGGACACTGAGCTATCACGGCTAGGTTAATAATGTCTCACGAAATTTTTAATAATTTTATGGTTTCTGGCCAGTTAAGAGGCAAAAGTGCAAATTTCCACATCACTTTCCTGGGAGAAAACAGTTCTTCTTCCGAGACCGTCCATGCCGTGATATACAGGGTGGCTTTTCTAAAGGTGCCCAAATTTACACAGGAGGTTCAGACTCGGTAGTATAATCGTTTATTGAAATAAAAACAAACTTTTTAAAAAAAAAATTACCATTCCATTCCCTAAAAAAAACTTGTTGAGAATGCGGTAGTCATTCATAAATGAACTTGTATGCGTGTAAGTTATGAATGATCGCGCGTAAAATAAATGAGTTGCGTATAAATCACACACTTTTTGTGATAAGTTTAAATAAATGTAATTACTTACGAGTGATTTTAAATATTTATAATTTTTTATATAACATAATTTATGTCTAGAATCTAATAAAAAAAATGGATACACTTAGAAAAGCCACCCTGTAGAGAAAGTCGCATCATCAAATAGAACATGAATCTAGGTTTAATATCCTCACAGAAGAACACTCACCGGTAACTTCGAAGCAATCTCTGAAGACGACAAGCACTTGCTCCAGATCCTCACGACCAGTAATGGTGTAAATGCTCTCTATCAAGATGCTCAGATCTGGAAATGGTATATAAAAATTCATAAACTTAATGCAACTTAGATTGGTTTGTAGCTCCAAATGTCAAAGGAAGAAGTATCAAAAATAATAAAAATATATAAGCTTAATGCAATTTAGATTGGTTCCTAGCTCCAAATGTCAAAGGAAGAAGCATCAAAAATAATAAAAATATATAAGCTTAATGCAATTTAGATTAGTTTCTAGCTCCAAATGTCAAAGGAAGAAGCATCAAAAATAATAAAAATATATAAGCTTAATGCAATTTAGATTAGTTTCTAGCTTCAAATGTCAAAGGAAGAAGCTTCAGAAATAATAAAAATATATAAACTTAATGCAATTTAGATTGGTTTGTAGCTCCAAATGTCAAAGGAAGAAGTATCAAAAATAATAAAAATATATAAGCTTAATGCAATTTAGATTGGTTCCTAGCTCCAAATGTCAAAGGAAGAAGCATCAGAAATAATAAAAATATATAAATTTAATGTAATTTAGATTGGTTTCTTGCTCCAAATGTCAAAGGAAGAAGCATCAAAAATAATAAAAACATATAAGCTTAATGCAATTTAGATTGGTTCCTAGCTCCAAATGTCAAAGGAAGAAGCATCAAAATAATAAGAATATTTAAGCTTTATGCAATTTACATTAGTTTCTAGCTCCAAATGTCAAAAGAAGAAGCATCAAAAATAATATAAACATATGAACTTAATGCAATTTAGATCAGTTTCTAGATCCAAATGTCAAGGAAGAACCAGTCTGCGTTCATATTTGTCAATCTTTCTTTTACTGTTTTCGTGTTAATGAAAACATGAATTGCATTTGAATATTGTATAATAGTTTTCTATCAACACAAAAGCTCTTAGGTTATTTTATATTTTTCAATAGTTTTGTTAATCTATCCAATAACCAATTTATTATTATTTATTTATCACTACATAGTATAAACCAAAGTCGTCCCGCTGTCTGTCTGTCCCTATGTATGTTAAAACTATGCAACGCATCTTGATGCGGTTTTTTTACTAGATAGATTGATTCAAGAGGAAGGTTTATATGTATAATAAATTGACCCGAAGCTGGGGCGGGTCGCTAGTTTACTACATGTTATAATATCTGAAAATACAGCGTGTCGTTGCCATCGCGACAATAAATGAACACACATATAGGGGATAACTTTTTAAAGTTGTATTAAACATTTAAATTCTTTAAACATCAATATTTACAGAGTTATTAAATTTTCCAAAACAAAGAATTTTAGAACACCCTTACTTACAAAAGCGTAACGTAAAGTTCATTTGTAAAGGTCACAAAGCATATGAATGGGTTGAATGAATTTAAAAGAGACAAAACGTACTGTTAGAAGGAGAGACTTTTAATACGACGCTGTGCGCGAGTTGTATAGGATGTTACAAATTTTGTTTCTTTTTTACTTAATTACTTTGTTTGAAAAATATTTTTTTTTTAATTAAGGATTTTGTTTAACGTTAATATTTTTTCATGATTATTGGCAAGTAGCGTTAGACGTGTGTTCATTTATTGTCGCGATGGTAACGACACGCTGTATATAAGGCCATGAAATAATTATTTATATGATACCTCATGAAAACTGAGAAATAACTGAGGGGCGGCGGTAGCGTTGGCAACTTTTAAAAATTCAACGTATTCACTAGGCGGAATAAAGTTAATAAATCTTCAAAAGTTCAGTTAACTTTTGAAGATTTATTAACTTTAATAAATTACCTAATAAGCCTTTTTCATGTTACCAAAAGAGCTAAATGCATTTGCTCGCGGAATATACTTATGCCTGGAGCGAGTAAACCGGCCCAGTTCTCAACTGGTTTCAAGTCTAAACTGGAGTAAAAGCTTTTATTCAGTGTCTACTCACTCGTTGTTCCGGTTTCTTCGAGGCAGTCGGTCAAGGCGTATTTGAATTCTGAAATGGAAGGGATGAGAGTAGTCAAAATAGTCAAGGGCACATTTGTATGTACCGTAAATTGTGTCAAGTTTTTTTTATTGCGACGATAGCAAAACGCACTATATTTTAATAAAGGAACAATATTTTATATCAATACATTGCACCCGCGCGAAGCCGTGGCGGTTCGCTATGGGTAAATAAATGTATTCTATTTCTTTCTTTCATTGTTACAACATTGAAAGCAGTTCACGTGTGTACGTGAGGATCACCACCAATGGGATCAGAACCGCAACAGTTATAGGAATATTGTTAACCACACAGATTATTGGCTCCACCTTCTTCCACCTGGTCTCCTGTTCGGAGCCGATTCGACTGGAATGGACAGATTGGATGGATAGATGTCAGAAGCACTGTAACCGACAGGATACTCACGGGTCCTGTTCGTTGCCTTCAAGAAGATCCTTATGCTGGCGGCGATGGATTTGCGACGGCAGATGCGGTTGAACGTGAGGACGGCCTCTCCGATATCTGAAAGGCCATTTCGTGAGCCAAACGTACAATACAACCAAAGGGGAGACGTACAGTATCAGTGACATCGTCTTAAAATTTTGTTAATAGAGTTGAACAACAAAATACTGTTAGCACTGATGGAGTCCTCGAAAGGGGCGGAAGACCAATCTTTTAATGGCTTGGCGCACCAGGCTTCATTTCAACTCACTAGGCGAGAGAAGCACAAACAAAACTACGGTTGTCTCCTACTTTTGTTTATTTGAGAAGGTGGCAAACCGGCGTGGTAAGGTGACGGTGGCGGTTGACCTGATGTTAAGTGCTAACCGCCACCCGTTGACACTTTGCACAACAAGTAGAGATGCAGATGCTTTAACTTTTAATAAAGTTGGCCCCGGCTACCTCACTCACCAGATGAAACGCAGCAGTGTAACAACTGTGAGGTCGTGGCACTTTCGGACGGCGCTGCCCATTCGTGCAACAGCGAACACTGTTACGTGGCCCTACCACAGTCGGGTCTTCTATGAACCCGTGGTAAAATTCTCCGGGTCTGCGCTCACCTCAGCCAGTTTATCATTATTTGTGCCGAATATTCCTCGGCCATCACTTAATCGCCTGAGGTATCTAACAGTGATAAGATTTGCCCTTAGATTCGGGTTTGAAGAGATCAAAGAAGTCGGTGCTAGAAAATAGATGTGAATATACAAGATAGAACTGACTCTGTGTCCTTGAAGTCGGTGCTAGGAAATAGATGTGAATCCATATATACAAGATGAAACTTACTTTGTGTCCTTGTTACGCTCAAAAGTAGACTGAACGCGCCTCTGAAGTCTGGAAAATACAGCGATTGTAATAGTTTATTAATAATTATCGCAAGCGTTGTGATAATTAATTTAATTCACTTTGGTTCTCATTATTTTATGCGTCTGTCCATGAAGGCTGTAAAGGGTTCGAAACGTCGGGAATTAAAATTAAAAATAAACGCGATAAATCCGCAAAAATTAGTTTCATTTATAATGTGTAATCGCGTAAATGCAAGAAATTATTTTTATGCGCATTTCATTTATTACGGCCGTAAGGTATGTGCACCATTTTAGCCGACTTCAAAAAAGGAGCATGTCCTTTGTTCGACTGTATGTTTTTGTTTTTTTGTAAAATCAAAGTCTCCGTCCTCGACCGAGCGGTATTTAAATTGAAAATGTATACATATCGAAACACTTCAAAAGGTATCAACAATGAATTGAGAGAAAGAGTTAAAGAGTTGATTGCGACTCAACTAAATAAACTAACAATTGGAAAAGGTAGCCATGAAGGGTTTTTTAAGTTGAGTTGAATCATTTTTCAATGTGATCTTTCAGATTAAATTCGACTTTGGCTTTCGCTTCGCCTTCGACTTTCACTTCGGAACTCACCAATTTCTCCACGCAGTGCTTCCAGCAGTAGAGGCACTTCGGAGGGTCCGTTGTTGCCGGTTATCCTCGAGATTTCGATCCGTATACCTTCCAGGCCTGCGGAGGACGTCAATTTATTGTTATTATTATACACTAGCCGCTGCCCGCGACCGCGTCTGCGTATAATTGCCCACAATGCCACAAGACCAAGCTACCCTAAACGATTACGATGAGCATTTGCTTTGATATACGCACACAGGAATACAGTCCGAGCGTGGTGTAAATCTGCGAGTACAATGCGCCTTTCTGTTGTGCATCTTCAAATTACATCATGGAGACCGGATGAGGGAATATTTAATACGAATCGTCCATGTTATGATGGATACATCTTTGTATGTATGATATACTAGCTGCTGCCCGCGACTTCGTCTGCGTAGAATAGGCTGAAGGCGTGACATTCAGGCAGAAAGACATATATACATAACGTCATATGTATATAAATTATAGTCTGTCTTATTCTGATATATAAGTTTCATTAAAATCCATTCAGCAGCATTTGCGTGAAAGAGTAACAATCATCCATCCATACATACAAACTTTCGCCTTTATAATATTAGTAAGGAAGTAACGATAAGGATGCTTCATTAAACACCATAAAACATAAAAGGAAATGTTACAGAATTAAAAACTTATGAGGCAGAAACAATAAGGCGGTCTTATCGCTAAGGAGCGATCTCTTCCAGACAACCTTGTGTCTAAAAATATTTTATTTTGGACAACGGTAGGTGGTGCAAATGATAAACTTACATACTAATATCTAAATTAACTTAAAAAATATGTTGTATTTTTGTATATTAATAATATACTAATATATAATATGTAATAAATAATATATAATATTTCTCGCTCAAAGGTTAAGCATAACTATTCAGAGAGGAAATGCGAGCGTTCTTGGCACCACGCCGCGTGGATTAGGTTTATTAGATAATATGTAATTTTAGATAGATTTAATCTTGTAAATATTAGATCAATAAAGATTGTGTTTTATTAATTACCAATCTAAAAATATATATATATACATATATAGTAATATAACAGCGTGTCTTTACCACCGCGACAACAAATGAACACACGTCTAACGCTACTTGCCAATAATCATAAAAATATATTAACTTTAAAAATAAAAAAAATCCATAATTAAAAAAGATAATTTCTAAATAAACTAATTAAGTAAAAAAGAAACGAAATTTGTAACATCCTGTACTACAACTGAGTGATTCATACATTCAGAGACTTTTTCATTCGTTGGCACAGCGCCGCATTACAAGCCTCTCCTTCTAACAGTATGTTTTGTCTCTTTTAAATTCATTCAACCCATTCATATGCTTTGTGACCTTTACAAATGAACTTTACATTAAAGTTTTATTTTCATAAGAACGCGCAATCGTCTATGTGAATAAATAAATTTTTTATTTTGATTTGATTTGATTCTAAGTGAAAACTTCTTTAGTGGGCACGTTGAGCACTTTATGGGTGAACAAAAATCATGGAGCTCGCCTCATAGTCACCGAACGCATACCATGAGCTATTTTTAACAAAGGAACACGCAAAAATATACCTTTTTTATGCGAGAAAGTGGCAAACGCGCTGGCGGTTCACCTGATGTTGAGTGATAACACAAATGATGACATTTGCAACACCGGTAGGCTTGGAGATGCATTGCCACATTTTAATAAAGTGAGCCCCGGCCACCTCACTCACCAGACGAAACGCAGAAGTGTAACACTTCTACTTTTTTTCATGTGAAAAGTTGCCAAACGAGCAGACGGTTCACCTGATGTTAAGTGAATACCGCCGCCCATGGACATCTGCTACACTCGAGGGTTACAGATGCGTTGACAACCTTTTGAAAATAGGGCTCCGGCTACCTCACTCACCAGACGAAACGCGAAAGTATTTGTCATACTTCCACTTTACGCCGGTCTTCTGTGAGGTCGTGGTACTTACCCGGACGGGCCTGCCCATTCGTGCAACGGCCGAGGCTGCTGCGTGGCCCTACCACAGTTAGCTTGTGGTTATGGATTATATAAATACGTTAATAATAAGTTGGAAGTGTTCTAATTCTGCGTTTCGCCTGATCAGTGGGGTAACGGCTGGTACCTGGGCACCAGTGGAAACGCATCTGCGATACTACGCGTGTTGCATATGTGAAAAAAAAATATTTCAAAGATATGTGAACTCTGCCAATCTGGAAGTCATGTGACTGACGCCTTACTATACAATTACGATATGATGAACAGGAACGGATTTTTTTTAACAAGAAGATTGTCCGCCCCGTGAGCCCTCTCGTAAGGAACTCATCTCGGAAGGCTTGGGCCAAGTGGCGTATATAAATCCTGTACAGAAAAACCATTTACCTGACGAAGAGGACGAAGAAAGGTGTCTGAAGTGGTCGCTGATCCCTTGGTAATCTGCGGAAGGTAAAGTTGGCGTTAAGTAGCTATTGGGATGGTGGGTGGTGAGAATTTATCGTGTTCCATAGAAGTATACCATACTGGCTGTTAACCGCGGCCTCGTCCGCGCGGTACAAAGGAATCAACAATAAGTTTTTATTATACACCAGAATAAGAACTTTTTCGTAGTTACTTGGCACTTGACATTTTGAACAACTTTCAAACATTACCCTTGCTGTAGGATAATGTCATCCTGTGTTTTAAGGACGTTTCACACGAAAATTTTACGCGGACCAACGTCCAGATCCCAATTGTTTGTGTACACAAACGGGAATCGTTTGTGGGAATCGGAGTAAAAACACTTAGGCATATGTTAGACGTCTTAGGCAAGCGCGGGGCCCGTAGCAAATTCTCTCAAAAGCCGTCAATGCTATGTGCCCTTAAGTGTAAAGTGGTAAAAAACAATTCAATACTCAATACATTTTGCAGTCTATAGGTTACAACTTTTGGGTAACTAATAGTCTAGTAGATTACCACAGGCCGTGTACGGTCCCATGTACAAAAATGCAGAGATTAGATTGCCTGGCAATTTGGAATAGTTTTGATAAGAAACTAACAATTGAGAACTGACGATACTACACAAATTATTTCTTTTCAATACACATTTCAATTAAACTTAATATACATCTTGATAAATTTCACTCAAAGAATTACTAAGGTATATGGGTAATCCGGCACTGGAATGCAGTAAAGTAAAAGTAAAGTAACAGCCTATACATGTCCCACTGCTGGGCAAAGGCCTCCTCTATACAGAGGGTATCAGGGCATAGTCCACCACGCGGCCCCACTGCGGATTGGCGGACTTCACATATCTTCGAAATACATATATATTTTTTGTTATTATTTCGAAAATATGCAGGTTTCCTCACGATGTTTTTCCTTCACCGCGGAGCACGTGATAAGTCAGCACTTAAAGTTAAAAACTTCATTGGTGCCGGCACCGGGGATCGAACTCGGGTTGCTCGAGTATATTGAATTAAGGCGAGCGCCCGGACACTGAGCTATCACGGCTATATCTGGAATGCAGTATGTAAATTAAATCTCAATCGGGCAACGGCCCAGCAATTGGGAGAAGACCGGCTCCCGTCTTACACTTACTTTTGGCGCCGGAGATTTTCTCCAGGATCTCGTGGACGCCGTCGAAGTTCAGGTGGCCGGTCATCTTGTTGATAACGGCGTACGCTTTGAACACGTCTGGAAGGAAGCGGGAACACTTTTAGAACCAAAAAGATAGTCGCGAACAGTTTTCGCCTTTTTTTTTTTTTTTTTTATGCGAAAAGTTGTCAAACGAGCAGACGGTTCACCTGATGTTAAGTGAATACCGCCGCCCATGGACATCTGCTACACTCGAGGGTTACAGATGCGTTGACAACCTTTTGAAAATTGGGCTCCGGCTACCTCACTCACCAGACGAAACGCGAAAGTATTTGTCATACTTCCACTTTACGCCGGTCTTCTGTGAGGTCGTGGTACTTACCCGGACGGGCCTGCCCATTCGTGCAACAGCCGAGGCTGCTGCGTGGCCCTACCACCGGCCTTCATGGGACATGCATATTATAAATAATAATTATTAAACGTTTCAGGATAGATTTGAACACAGCGTTTTCTATTCACAAACTGAGCAATGATTGTACTATGGGCACTAGATAACTATATTCTTCTGTTAATAAAAAGTAGTGGGGATCGAACCCACACCCTCTGGCGCAGGCAGGGTCACTACCCATTAGTCCAGTCGGGTCATCGAGTATATATTTATTAAGAAAAGTGGATCTTTTTTCTACCTTACACTTAAAATTGTTCGTTTTATTTCTTTATTACATGAATAAAATGAAACAATAATAAATAAAATAAAAATAAACATATATATATATATATATGTTTATTTTTATCCATAATATTTATTTTATATATGCAATATATATCTATATCTTTATTTTTATTTTTATTTATAAACCCAACCAGACGAGAAAACAAATGAATATCCCCCCATAATAATAAAATAAAAAATAAGAGGATCTTTTGTTCTTCTACTTAAAATTGTTAGTTTTATTTCTCTATTAGGTGAATAAAATAAAACAATAATAAATAAAATAAAAAATAAGAGGATCTTTTGTTCTTCTAATTAAAATTGTTAGTTTTATTTCTCTATTAGGTGAATAAAATAAAACAATAATAAATAAAATAAAAAATAAGAGGATCTTTTCTTCTTCTACTAAAAATTGTTAGTTCTATTTCTCTATTAGTTGAATAAAATAAAATTAAACAACAATAAATAAAATCGAAATTACCGCGTTGGTTAGTCAGCTGGTAGAGGATCTCCACGAAAGTTGTGATTTCTGCGGAACAGAAAAAGAGGTTAATACACATACTCGTCTCATTATTATCTATAAAGTTATAATTTTTAGGGTTCCGTACACAAACGATAAAACGGGACCCTATTACTAAGACTGACTGTCTGTATTTCCGTCTGTCACCAGGCTGTATCTCATAAACCGTGACAGTTGAAATTTTCACAGATGATGTATTTCTGTTGCCGAAAAACGTAAAACAGAATAAAGAAAATATTTAAGTGGGGCTCCCATACAACTGTCATGATTTTTTTTGCCTTTTTTATAGATAAAGGTGCAGAACCCTTCGTGCGCGAGCCCGACTCGCACTTGGCCAATTTTTAGTCATAGAAAACAGACCTTGCATCTCAAACGGCCTTTTCAAAGGCCACTTTGGATATAATTAATTGACCTGCTGTTATTATCAATCGATTAGAGAAATTGCCAATGTTCTATATTTAATGTGTATATTTATTTATTTATTTATCACCAACAAAGTACACACTGTGACAGAATAATTATACAAGGTTTGCAAAAAAGTGATGAGTGGTACCTTAATTATAGGTAAAAACTACTTTACAACAGGCAAAAAACTTTTACAAAACTAAATGTGAAATACGAGCATTATAATAATACAAATATTAACTAAAATACGGTTGAAACAGAAAAAAAAGCAGTATAAAAAGTACGTTACTAAAAATCTATTGTCAATTCTAAAAGAAAGCATTGTAATTTGTATTTTATGTGGAAGGTGTGGGGTTGTTAGTGTTAACTGCGACCTAAAAGATCTATTGTAGCCTTCCCTTCGAAATCATCGTCCCTTACTGTAGGATATATATATACATATATATATATATATATATATATATATATATATATATATATATATATATATATATCCAACGCAAGTAAGGAAACGCATGACTCCGCGTCGGGGCTCGTGGATTCGATTTCAGCACGGGACAACTGCTTGCTTAACCCACGGATAGTTGTTTCGCATCTGGGTGTCTGTCCGCGTGGAATTTAAAACTTGCAACACAGGATAATGTTATCCTAAAGTAAGGGCAAATGTTTTTAAATAAAAAAATGGGTGTCTGTAGTTATGTTAGAGTGAAAAGTTATACTTCTTTGGCATCATTAAAATAGTTTTTAATTGCATGCAAATAAATAATAAAAAGACTAGTAAAGCATTTAAATAATATGAAATTATGAAAGCGCCATCTACATTCTTTATTAAGCACTGTAACGGGCGAACGAGATTTAGAATATGCTGCCATCTATAATGAGCGATTTAGTGGACAGCTTCAAAGGTGTTACTTTTGTGTTACAGTGATGCGCGCGCTTCTTGATATTTCACTCTCACCATTTTTTCACAACGCGCCTAAAGAAGCATAACTTCGAAAATAAAAAAAAACCTTTTTACTCACTCGTGTGACCTTCTAGCGCGCTGAAGAAGTTGAAAGTGTAACTCCAGCCACGGGAGCCGCGCAGTGTCTTTATAAATATGTACACTTCTCCGGATGCTGTGAAAGGGCGTAAATATTCACTGACGAATGCAAGATACACTCGATAGCACACGAAATGTTTACGTCGGTGGTAGGGCCACGCAGCAGCCTCGGCTGTTGCACGAATGGGCAGGCTCGTACGGGTAAGTACCGCGACCTCACAGAAGACCGGCGTAAAGTGGAAGTATAATACTTTCGCGTTTCGTCTGGTGAGTGAGGTGGCCGGAGCCCAATTTTCAAAAGGTTGTCAACGCATCTGCAACCCTCAGCAGGCTTACGGCTTAGCAGAGGTCTATGGGCGGCGGTATTCACTTAACATCAGGTGAACCGTCTGCTCGCTTGGCAACTTTTCACATAAAAAAATAAATAAAAGACATCATCATAATCAGCAATACGTCCGCCGTTGAACAGGGGCCCGCCCCTTGGAACGCCACAACGAAGGACAGTTTGCCGTTTGCTAATGGACACTTTGCCATTTGCGTCCCATTCGTAACGGTTACGTCATCGGCAAGACACCCACCGTTGAACATAGGCTTTATGATTTTAGGCTAAATGAAAATCTTTTTATATAATTGTTAATATCTTCACCATTCAATTGATATATTCTTTTTATTGTAACATATTTTTTTAGTAACATACTTTATATACTGTTTTTTTTTTCTATTTTTGCTGTTTTTTTTTTAATAGTTTTTTAATAGTTTAGTTTTGTAAAAGTTTTTTTTGGTTTTGTCTCTACTGTCTCTTAAAAAGTAGTCTTTACCTATAATTAAGGTACCACTCATCAATTTTTTTACAAACCTTGTTTATTTATTCTATTACGGTGTGTACTTTATTATAATAAATAAATAGGCCTTCCCCTTAGAACGACACCTTGCTATTTGCATCCACCCAGGGCCAGATTCTCTGGAATCAGCTCTGGAGCTCTTCAGCTCTGGAGGCCTCGGGGCAACAAATGAGTGGCTCCTTGCCCCCAAATTATTTTCTATTGATTTCTGTTAATATTTTATTTAATCATGTTTGTACAAAGTACTGTAGGTAAAAGTAAAACGCGAAAAAATATATGAAAGGTAAAGTTGTTTACTATTGTTTACTAGTCTGAGTTTGATTTTTTTTTCCGAAGGCTCTATTGTGGGGGCCCCTCGTTTGTGGAGGCCCCGGGCTGTTGTCCCGGTTGCCCTCCCCTAAATCCGGCCCTGTGTCCACCGACTCTTACAACGATGTCGTTCCACCTAGGGAGGCTTTTCCCCATCGTTCGTCAGTTCTTCGAGCGATGTGGCCTGCCCACTGCCCCGTCGGAACGGTTTACGTAGAAATAATTTCTACACGAAAGCCGTGATGGCTCAGTGTCCGGGCGCTTGCTTTTAATTAAATATAGTCGAGAATTCGTGTTCAAATCCCGCTGACGATGCGATGGAATTGTCAATTTCAAGTGCTGAATTATCACGCGCTCAGCGGCGAAGGAAAACGTCGTGAGGCGACCTGCATGTTTTCGAAGTAATAACAAAAAAAAAATATTCCGAATACACGTGAAATCCGCCAACCCTCAGCGGGGTCACGAGGTGGACTATGCCCTAATGCCCTCTGTACATAAGAGGCCTTTGCCCAGCAGTGGGATTTGCATAGGCTGTTACTTTACTTTCCTTTACTTGCTACTTGAAATAGGGTATATTTCGAAAGCCTTGTTTTTGGGGTTCCACAGCTCATTTGAAAAAGTTCATATGCGTTTGTCCTACCCAATTTATTGTTCTTCCGCCACGACCCTTTTTCGCAAATGATGGCGGTGTAAACTATTTGAATTTTATCTATCTCTTCTCGCTCAAATGTTAAGCATAGCTATTCAGCGAGGAAATGTAGCTAGCGTTCTTGGCACCATGCCGCGTGGATTAGATTTATTAGATAATATGTAATTTTAGATAGATTTAATCTTGTAAATATTAGATAAATAAAAATTGTTCAGATTTGAGTTTTAAATTCGATCCTATCAAGGGATACGCTCGTTTACTGCACGTCAGTTTCCCCCGTGGACTCGTCAAAACGTTTAGGGTACTTATTTTGACCTCACGAAATTCAGTGGGCAATGTTTCACCGTGTAATAGACTCACCGTGTAATAAACGTTTAGGGTACTTATTTTGACCTCACGAAATTCAGTGGGCAATGTTTCACCGTGTAATAGACTTCACCGTGTAATAGACTTCACCGTGTAATAGACTTCACCGTGTAATAGACTTCACCGTGTAATAGACTCGTATGTAATAGACTAACGAAAATCGAGAGCTTTTAATTTGTGTGGACAAAGATTAAGTCCGTTGTCGTAATTTAAATATGAAACGAATGAATTACTTACATTTCAAACCTGTAACGGTCCGGACGTAGCTGACGGCCTGAGCTTGGTCTGTAATTGATAAATAAGAAACATAATTGCATTATGGTCACCAATAAATCTTCTAGCATTGATATACCTATGCATATGTGCTATGTATTCCTTCAAGTCCAATATAAGTGGGATGATATTTTATACTATAGACTAACAGACGTTGTCACTTGTCCTGTACACGCTTAACAACAAATAAGCTGACTTAAATCCGACAACAACTTATAAATAAATAAAAAACAATAAACAATCTAATTGTGAATCTAAAGCATTCTCGAATCGACCTGAAGACATTCAAAAAATTTCATTAAAATCGGTTCAGCCGTTTAGGAGGAGTTCAGTGATATACAACGTACAGAAGAATCCATACTTCCATACTAATATTATAAATGCAAAAATAACTCTGTATGTCTGTCTCGCTTTCACGACAAAACTAGTGAACCGATTTAAATGAAATTTGGTACACACATAGTCTAGAGCCTGAGAAAGGACATAGGCTACTTTTAAATTGGAAACAGGGTTCTTAAAGGGGACATATATTTATTTAAGGGCTTCAACGCGAGCGAAGCCGCGGGTGAAAAACTGGTTATACATATAAAGATATGTTATACGCTTACAAAATCACCGGTAAAAGTGTTCCACACACAAAAGTGTTCCAAAGCACAGTTCACAAGAAAATATTCACACGTTTCGTTCATCATAACTTTCTCACACGTGACGAATGCTACAAAAAGGACAGCGTAATTAAAGCAATAAGAAAGACCCTGTCAAGAGCGAGTAGAGTTCAATTAGACGCCGTAATAAAATTGGGAAATAATCAGGATAGATTTTCTCAGGAACGGGTGAAAGTTGAAATTTGTACCAGTTCATCACACAGTATTTTTCCAGTAGTGGAGATCGAACCCACAACCTCTGGCGCAGGAGGCAGCTACACTACCCACTACGCCATTCGGTTCGTTGTTGTGTTTTAATTAGATCGAGAGTGCCTGTTGCATTGATTGTTTAAAAACTTACCTGAACAGATGTTAGAATTATTAAGTTGTCAAAACGCGACATTTTAATATCTCCTGTAGCGTTTTGTATGTGTACACTTTTCAATAATTTATATGAAATATTAAATAATAAATAAAATGAGTCCGTATTATTAATCAACAGACAGAAAAATGGAAAAGCGAACTATACAGTAACGATGACTTTACTGCCTACGAGGTGAGTCTGGACTTTTAATCTGTGACCTTTGGTGCATCCGTCTTTCTCGACCCCATATTAAATTTATTCGCTGCCTCTTTCTTTGTTTTGTAACCTTACACAAATTTAAATTTTAAGAAATATAATTAAAATATACTAACAATTCGAAAATATCATCATCATCATCATCATTTCAGCCTGTTTGAGTCCACTGCTGAACATAGGCCTCCCCCACAGACTGCCATGAAGTGCGATCCTGAGCCACCTGCATCCATCGACTTCCCGCACATTTGCACAGGTCGTCACTCCATCTAGTAGCGGGTCGTCCTACACTGCGATGGCCAGTACGAGGCTGCCACTCGAGAACCTTTCTTCCCCAACGGTTATCGGTTCTACGAGCTATATGGCCGGCCCATCGCCACTTCAGCTTGCTAATCCTCTGAGCTATATCGGTTATCTTAGTTCTACTGCGGATGTCTTCGTTACGAACTCTATCACGCAGAGAAATACCGAGCGCTTAGCGACTTTGAGCTTCCTCATACGGCCAGCAGTGAAGGACCACGTCTCGGTTCCGGTCAGGTTAGGTCATCACTGGCAAAACACATTGATTGAAGACTTTAGTCTTCAAACATTGAGGTATATTCGACGAGAAGATTTGCCGAAGTTTCCCGAACGCTGCCCATCCGAGTTGGATTCGCCGATTGACCTCTGCGTCGCAGTTGGACTTACCTAGCCGGACTAACTGTCCTAGGTAAACGTACTCGTCAAAAACTTCGAGCTCAGTGCTCCCAACAACAACCGGTATAGGCGTGACATGGACATTAGACATGATCTTCGTCTTGTCCATGTTCATCTTAAGGCCCACCCGTTGGGAGACACTGTTGAGGTCATTGAGCATAGCACCCAGGTCCTCCAGCAATTCTGCCATGATGACTATATCGTCGGCAAATCGAAGGTGGGTGATGTATTCGCCATTGATGTTAATACCTCGTCCTTTCCAGTCCAGAAGCTTGAAAACATCTTCCAACGCAGCGGTGAAGAGTTTCGGGGATATGACATCACCCTGTCTTACACCCTTCTGCAGATGGATAGGTTTTGTACTACTGGACTGTACTTGGACGGATATCGTAGCCTTGTTATACAAACACCTCAGCACTTCGATATACCGACAGTCAATTTGGCACCGCTGAAGAGCCTGGAGTACCGCCCAAATTTCGACAGAATCGAAGGCTTTCTCATAGTCCACATACGCTAGGCACAAAGGCAGATTATACTCTTCGGTCTTCTGTATAACCTGCCGCAAGGTGTGTATGTGGTCTATGGTACAGAAGCCTTTCCGGAATCCGGCTTGTTCGGGAGGCTGGAAGTCATCGAGTCTGGAAGCGAGACGATTCAAGATGACTCTTGAGAACAGCACATAGACGCGGCTCAGAAGGGATATCGGTCTATAGTTCTTCAAGAGAGCGTTATCGCCTTTCTTGAAGAACAGCACCACCACACTTCTGCTCCACGCCTCTGGTGTAGCACCACCCTGAAGGACGAAATTAAAGAGCCTCTGAAGGACTACAAGTACCGGTTCTCCACCCGCTTTCAGAAGCTCTGCTGTAACTCCGTCCTCTCCCGATGCTTTGCCATTCTTAAGATGGTCGAGAGCCATTCTAATCTCGCTCAGACTGACGTCCGGGATATTCTCGGAATAGTGTCGGATAAGCTTTGCTCTTGGGTCGTAACTCACACATGCGTGTGGCTCCAACGACGATGTGTACAGCTGTCCATAGAACCTCTCAATCTCACTCAAAACCTCTGGTCTACTGGAGATGACAGCGCCGCTGTCAGTCTTCAACTTGGTCAGTTGGCTTTGTCCGATAGACAGATCTCTGGCGAAGACTTTTGAGCCTAGGTTCCGCTCTATAGCTCCCTCAATACGAGCTGTATTGAAGATGCGTAAGTCTCGCCGCATGCATTTGGAGATCTGCCTATTAAGCCGCCTGTAGTCTGACATGTCAGTTAAAGACTGCAGTCGCATCTCACGTCTTTTTCCCAAGAGGTTAAGAGTGTGATCGGAGAGTTTTTGCGTTCTATTTGTGCGGCGGGCCTTATAAAATTGAAGGCCCACGGCATGGACAGTTTCCACGAGCTTAGCGTTAATATCGTCCACAGTGTTGCAATTTTCTAGGCATAGGAAGCGATTATGTAGCTCGAGCCGAAAGCTTTCGGAGTTCTGGATATGGGCACGAGATGGTCGGAGTGTGGACTTCATTAGACGAGATCTTTCCAGCCTGATATTAATATTCAATGTGCCTCTCACCAATCGGTGATCACTGCCGGTCTTCACCCTTGTGATCACAGAGACATCATTGAATATTTGCCGTTTGTTCGTCATAATGAAGTCTATCTCGTTTTTTTACAGAACCATCGGGGCTAATCCAGGTCCACTTTCTGTGGGGCTGCTTTTTGAAGAAGGAGTTCATCATAAAGAGTCCCTCCTTCTCCATAAAGTCAGCCAGCTGCTGCCCCCTTGGGTTCCGTTGCCCTATACCAAAACTTCCTACTCTCAGCTCATCGTCTTTCCTTTTGCCCAGTTTTGCGTTGAAGTCTCCCATTAACACCATGTATTGAGTTTTGGAGGAATGTATGGCTCGTGATATATCCTCATACATTGCCTCCACCTCATCATCGGGATGTGTCGACGTTGGTGCGTAGACCTGTATGACCTTCAGCGAATACCGTTTGGATATTCTGAGTATAAGGTACGCAACCCTAGACGACACACCCTCGATTTTAACAACGTTGTTAATGAGAGACTTGTGGACGATAAATCCGACACCACCTTGGGACAGTTGGTCGCCCTCCCGGTGGTAAAAACAGGTTGCCGGATTCGAGGATTATCGTGTCCTCCCCCTGTCTTCGGACTTCAGATAATCCTATTATATCCCAGCGCAGCCTGTTCACCTCTTCTTCCAGCTCTGTAATCTTCTCGTCAGTCCTCAATGTTCTTGCGTTGTATGTTGCCAGGTCCAGTCGCCGTCGTTGGTATGGTTGGTAGGTTGATATGATATAATATACCTTGTATTTTGTTAAATTTACGCACTTGGTACAACATTTAATAACATGCGACGGCATTTTAGTATAGAAAAATTTTTGATACCACGTCTAAACCACCGCCCTGCTTAACGCGAACTGAAGATGTCACTGTAACGTCCCAATTGGGACGTTATCGTGGCTTCTCTTTGGTCGCGTGAACAACTTATCTCTACAGTCTGTTAAATACAGGTTGATACGTGGGACATTGACATTGACACAAAAATATGGATCTCGTAGATGGAGTTCAGTATTTTTTAAACAAAAAATTTACCTAACACAATGTGGTACTTTATTTCGTAATGTCACTTTAGTTTATTAATTTCACATTAATGACAATGTCCCTCGTATCACAAAGACCGCTTAAAACAGCTCTCTTTATAACCTACCGCTTCTCAAGGCCATAATTTCGACTACTGCGTCAATTAATTGAATTAAATGTTTGGACAACTGCTGAGCTAATTCGTTGGCGTCCTCTATAGGCCACCTGATCAAACTCTTTACATTTCAATTAAAAATAAAAGTATATAATATAAATAGTTTCATTATTCCACAATTCAAACAGGCTCAACGAACGGGCGAAGTTATTGAAAACGACCCTTCATTTAATATTAATTAACCGACTTCAAAAAAGACGACGTGTTCGAGAATCTTCTTAGCTAAAATTTGAGTTGTTTTTGTTAAAATCTATACTTTCATATTGTTACTAAAGGGCCCGACAAACGTCCTGTACACACGATTTAAATCCGACAACGACTTATAACTAAAATTAAAAAAAAAAACTTGTGTATCTAAACCATTCTCGAATCGACCTGAAGGCATACAAAAAATTTCATTAAAATCGGTCCAGCCGCTTTTTGGGAATTCAGTGACATACACACGCACAGTAGAATCACACCTATAAAGATAATAAGTTTTTTTAAAAAAATTAAGGTATGTTTTGCGTAGTTTTGGAAGTAGACGGCGTTGTGTAAAAACATGACTTGGAATTTGTCCGACGCATTTACTCACTATAAACTCTCTAACCTGATCCTCCCAAACTATCCATGCACAAATCTTTATTTTCTCACAACATTCTTCGCCAAAGTCCGAGAGGTCACACACCTGCGAGATCAACTGTCAACTACATTTTTATTTGAAATCCTGCCGCCGACCCTTTAGCGTACCCTGTATTTGTACAATATTTAAGTTACAGTCGAGCCCATGATCCTAGGTTACCTAGGTCCCTAACTAAATGGTCCTTCGAGCCGGATTAAAACAACCCAAAAGCCAGCTTCCTTCACGTTAATTTCTCAGTAATGTAAAACAACACGGTCTGGGAACACTCACCATTATATCCTGTCAGTTTGAAAAGGACGGAAGCCCAGCTTTCGCCATCTGTGAACAAAACGACGGACTAAATAATTTCATAGTCGGAATAAACACGAAAAACCGTGTTGGCTTTATTTGAAACGAAGATTGAAAAAAAGTAAGAGTTCACTGCAAGGTGATCCCTAACTGTTCACAACGCAACGGCTGTGCAGAAACTAATGCAACTTGAAATTTACATAGCTAAACAAGCTGTCTAAATTTTAAATTGTTGTTGCTGGTTCAAAATACAGATACTTACAAGATTTCCACGCCCGGTTTGACTTGGACGGATTGCGTAAAGGTGAGAAGTTAGTAATTTGCATTCCTTAATTAAATTAATAAAGAAACGAAGTTAAATAAATAAATCCATTTTTCAGCTTTTACCTGACGGGACTGGGAATTCCGCCAAAGTATGACTACCCACAGAAAGGAACAGAAAGGAAGTATGATTCAGGCGGAAGAAATGTTTATACTTTTGAATTCCGTCCCACTATTGAGATTACTTCCTCACACTTGTGACTGTCAATGATTATGCAAATGGAACTGTTGATGGTACATCAGCGTAAGCAATAATAGTTTAACATGAGAAAACTCTCAAAAATATAGTTCTTTTGCAACTATTCTCTTCTTCTCGGGTCCCGAAACAGGAGCAAATCTCACCACCAGCATCCAACTTCTCTACTTTCGTCCCTTTCTCTTTCTCTCCTCTATTTCTCTCCTCTCGATGCTCCTTCCATTCTTCGTGTCGTTCCAACTTCTTCGATTCATGCTGCTCCCTCCTCTCCTCATGATACTCGCGGTGCTCCTGATATCCTGGATCAAGTGCCAACAATTTATAATCATACTGCGACTAAAAGTGTGTAAAATGTGAGGTGGGTATTTCATTTCAAATTTGTTCCCTCTTGTTTAATGAATTGCGCGATCTAAGTCTCGTTACAGTTCTCAGTTTTAAACGTGAGATTTACAGACGTTACTGACTTGGATTATAACGACATAAGGGCTTAGGGAAATCTATATAAGAAAGATTCTGAGAGCAGTAAGCTTTCTTTTTATAGCTTATTTTAATATAATTCTTTGTAGTATAAATTCTACGAACCTGCTTCGCTCATGAACTGTCTCACAACGTTTATTTTGTGGCCTAAAATATTACACAACAGTTAAATACATGAAAAAAACGCCAAGAGCAGAGAGCTGTTGGAGGGGTCGATTTAATGGACGACATTTGAGTCATATACTCGTATCAGGGTGGGCAACCTTTTTTCTAAAGATCTATTTTGTCATCAATTTTTTATATAACAATATTTCTTTAAATAAACATACAGTTTAAGACAAATGAACAAATGTTTCATCTAATCATAACATCGTCCATATGCTAAATATATATATATTATTCTAAAGCACAGAAATGGAAGGCAAGTTGGTAGCGATTCAGAGGAATAGCCTCCCTTCTTGGAGGGAATCTTATCGGTCCGGATCAGGAGGATGGTTGCTCTTGGTGTCAAAATGGCTCTCCAAAATCATCATCACCTTGCCCTTATCCCGGAAGTATACACTAGACACAAAGTGTGAATCGTTTTGCTAGTGATATTATCTGAGTGCTAACCGCCAGTGGGGTTCGAATCTGCTAGCTAACATCGCCATTAATCGTTTTTTAGCAAGGGATAGAAAGGTCGCTAATATTTTACTGTTTAATTGGCAGTTCTAACTGTGGTACGGCCACGCAACAGTTTTCACACTGTTGCACGAATGGGCAGGTCCGTCCAGGTCAGTACCCCGACCTCACAGAAGAACGGCGTGAAGTGGAAATGTTACACTTCTGCGTTTCGTCCGGTGAGTGAGGTAGCCGGGGCGCACTTTTAAATTTAAAGGTGGCAATGCATCTGCAACCCTACGGGTGTTGCAAATGTCCATGGTGCATATCACTTAATATCAGGTGAAACGTCAGCTTTTTCACATAAAAAATAAATTCAAATCTCACCGTGTGGTTCAGACGATACGCTTAGCACGAATACCTGAAGAATAGAAAATAAGTGATGAGTTAACGTTAAAGGGTCGATTTAGAGCACCAGCCGGACATTACGACCCCACTACTAGATATTTTTATAAATCTTAGCAAAGAAATATCTAAATTATAAAACTAAATAGGTGAAAAAATGAAAAAAATATTACTAAATAAATAAAGCACTTGTTGTAGATGTTTGGTTATACCGATCGAATTCTAAGGTCTTTTTAGGCTTCTGTGAGCAAACTCCGCTGTTTTTCTGTCTGTCCATTTGTCACCAGGCTGTATAACCGTGATAGTTAGACGGTTGATATTATCACAGATGATGTATTACTAGAACTTTGGAGGTCGCAACACCAAGTATTATGTTAATAATTCACCAGGTTAGTCCTTAATTGGACGGTTAAAAGTACTCACGGTGAGCAGTGCCACGACTAGCGCGCAGCAACCGGGCTTCATCTTTACGAAGTTGCGGGCGCTTGCTGACTGCTTCCACCACCGGCTACTTCTTATACCAGTAGCGGACAAAGCGTGCACTTGCCCAAACAACCGCCGGACGGGCGAGACAAATTGATACATTGAAAAGCATCAAGGCTTGTGCAAACATTCCACAATGAACGCGCGAAGAAAGACTCAATACTTAATCCTGCGTCTTTTGGTTTCATCTTCATCGTTTCCTTTTAAAGGCTTTATGCCTACTTAATCGATGTTATATTTACCTACTAGCAGTGGCGGATTTCCCCTAAGGCCTAATAGGCCCGGGCCTAGGGCGGCCACATATTAGGGGCGGCCAATCGTGACAAAAATTCTCTGATGATAATAATATATTATATTATGGACTCTGAGAAAGGGACGGCTGGAGCTTACTACATGGGCTGGGGCCTAGGGCGGCCAAGACTAAAATCTGCCACTGCCTTTCCATTAGTTTCCGGGTGTGTTCGACCAAACAACCATTTTATTCGGTAAAGAAAAATCACTTATGAAATAATCAACAAGCAGAATTTGGCCGTCGCTCATACTTTTCGAGAAAAAAAAAAGGTATTAGTTTCCTTAAGTTTCCGGGTGTTTTTCGACTTAAAAAAAATTATTCGGTACAGAAAAATCATTAGTAAAATACTCACCACGCAGAATTTGGCGGTCGCTTATAGTTTTCGAGAAAAAAAATTATTTAAAACGTAATTTACACTAAGAAAGTTCACCATTTTACCAATTTGACTTCAAAAACTGAATACACAGTACCGCCAACATGACAAATATAGGAAGGGAGCGAAAATTAATTTTCTTTTAATTTAAAGAGTGACAGATCCTACACAGAGCGATCCGACTCGGATAGGTTAGGTTAGGAGCTGAGCTCCCGCCTTAGCCTTCGTGGTTATTTAAAGAAAGAAGAAAGATACGTTTATTTGTTAGAACATAGTACAATATAGGTCTTAAAAGCTGTGGATCCTTTATGTTCTACCATTTCTGGTGTACAAATATTTCATTTTACATTATAAAAATACAAAAAAAAAAAACAAAACAAAAGTAAATATAATCTAGGAAAACTGTTTTTATAAAATTTTATCATTTAAATAATCCCCTGTGGAGTAGTAACATTTACTTATCAAAAAGTTAAACAGATTTCGCTTAAACAATTTTAAATTCAAACTTTTTAATCTATTTGGTAATTTATTATATATTCTAATGGCCATATAATAACAGTTTTTGCTGAACATTGTGGTACGATGGGGAGGCATGTGTAGTTTGTTCGAGAATCTACTATTTCGATTGTTTATTTCTAAATTACTTTTAAAGAGGGCCGGATGTTTATGAGCAAATATGCAAATTTCGAAAATGTATAAACAAGGTAGCGGTAGAATATGGTGTTTTTTAAATAGTGGTACACAACTGTCTACGTATTCTGCGCCACTTATAGATCTGATACATTTTTTTTGCACTCTAAAAGCTCTGATTAAATCGACCGAATTACCCCATATAATTATTCCATAATCTTGGGAGGGATATTCATTTGTTTTCTCGTCTGGTTTCGGTTTATAAATAAAAATATAGATATATATATTGCATATATAAAATAAATATTATGGATAAAAATAAACATATATATATATATATATATATATATATATATATATATATATTTTATTTTATATATATATGTTTATTTTTCCATAATCTTATTATTATTTGTAACATTTATGGGGTACTGTTGTATGTTATATATAATGTTATAGGGTTACTGTTGTATGTTTGAAACTGAATAATGTTGGTTTTACTAACGTTTAAATTTTAATTATTTCTAATCATCCATTCAGTAATATTATGCAGAGTTTGATTTATTTGTCTAAAAGGGCAAAAAAAATCACGCTTGTTGTATGGGAGCCCCACGTAAATATTTTTTATTCTGTTTTTTAGTATTTGTTGTTAAAAGCGTCAACAGAAAATCGTCATCTGTGAAAATTTCAACTGTCTAACTATCACGGTTCATGGGATACAGCCTGGTGACAGACGGAGAGACAGACAGAGCGTGAAGTCTTAGTAATAGTGTAATCCCATTTTACCCTTTGGGTACGGAACCCTTAACACACCATGAACACCATTGGTGAAAAAGCTTTCATGTTGAAATGATAAATTATTTTAGATGGAGATAAAACGAAAAATTAACGCGATAAATTTCAGTAAAATAGTTTTATCAAGCCCTCGTCATATTTATATTGAAACGATGTGACGTGCGAGCCAATTACTGCGCAAATAATTGAACAACTGTGTGGCTAATCAGGAAAAACGAAAAATACATTAGTTTTCTCCTCCAAACGGTACTTCTCCTGTAGTGAAAACACGCGGTAGCATTTAGTTTACCATTCTAACAGAAGAGGGGGGGGGGGGGGGGGGGGGTGGCCCCGGCACCGAGGCTATAATCTTTTATTTTTTAATAATAGAAAGAAAGTAAGAAAATACATTTATTTACCAAAAAAGGACGCACACAACAAAAGAGAAAAAATACTGAATAAAACAAAAAATAAAAGAAATTAAAAAAAATACTTATAAATAATACAGTAAAACAACACAACACAAATACATAATTAATATATAAAACAGATGGAAAATAACTTAAACAAACAAAAACTATTGTACGCCCTATTCCGGTAAATTAGGTCAGCGGCTCAGCATTATGCTGTGCCGGAAGTCAAGGCCCCAACACAGCGCTGATTTACAGTGCTGACCTTCACGCTTCGTAATACTTATGCGTTACTGACCCATACACAGCCATAATAATCTTTATTTATTTATCAAGGTCCACCAACATTTGACACATTAAGCATGCGAAGCAATTAAAAAAAAGTAAGTCGTAAATGTTCCAACAATTACAGGTGCACACAGCTTTCTTCACATAAACTTATACCCTAATTTAAAATAATGTTATATCTACAAACTAGTGCGAGAAAAATTTAACAAAACTAAAATTTTAATAACAGTTATAACATACCTAATAAATAATTTTAACTTCTAATCAAAACACCTCTGCACATTACAAAAATAAAATAAAAATAGCTGTTAGAAAAACAAAAAGAAATTTGACAGATACATTAGGACTACAATACAAATGTATCATACAAGGTATAATTTATTGTAGATATCACACTAGGCACAGCCTGTATCGTGAGTTCTAACCCTACATGACTCTGAAAATTTAACATGATATAAAATAATATCCCATAGACACGTTGCGTTAACAGATAAATATTTTAATATAAATAAATAAATATTTTAGGACACATTTGTACACAACATTCACAGGTTTCAGGAAGGGTCACACGGACGAAGGGCATTCACACCCTCGCGCTTATAATGGAGAAATATCAAGAGCGGCAAAGACCCTTGTATCTCGCATTTCTTGATTACCAAACGGCTTTCGACACGGTAACCCACACAAGCATTTGGGAAAGCTTGAGAGAACAAGAAGTCAACGATAAGTATATATACCATCACAATAATAATACGGGTAGAGTAAAATTAGAAACCCCTCCCCAAACGCCATAAGGCGAGGTGTAAGACATGGCGACCCACTATCCACAAAAATTTTTATAGCTGTCCTCGAAACCGTCTTTAAAACTCTGTATTGGAACAAACTAGGTATCTACATACAAGGCGCCTTCTTAAGTCATTTGAGACACGTGCAACTCATGATCTAATCTCTACAAGCCAGCTCTTCCGCTATAGGACTAGAAATAAATCTCGCAAAGACTATGCCAATGACAAATAGTCATAAAATACCAAAAAGTACTAACGGAAAGCTACTAGAATACACAGATAAGTACGTCTACTTGGGAAAAACAATAAGTTTCGACCGAAAAAATAGCGATATAGAAAGAGAAAAGAGTACAACACACATGGAATAAACACTGGAGTTTAAAAGATATTTTTAAAAGTAATATGCCAATACATATAAAAACTAAGATCTAGAATTCTAGCCTCTTACCATGTTTGACATACGAATGCCGGACGTGGAAATTCACGGCCAAGGTTAAGCACAAAATCACGACCTGCCAACGAGGACTCGAGAGAAGTATGCGCAACATAAAAAAAAGTTCGCACAACCACACTGCGGAACCAGCTGCCGCCGGCGGTCTTTCCAAACCGTTACGACTTGGGAACCTTCAAGAAGAGAGAACCCTTTTCTAAAAGGCCGGCAACGCATTCGTGAGCCCTCGGGTGTTGCAGGCGTTCATGGGCGGCGGTGATCACTTACCATCAGGTGAGCCTCGTGCTCGTTTGCCCCTTTTCTCCATGAAAAAAGTAGAGAAAATACGACACTCGAAAATAAGAACATCAATAAAGTCACTAATGCCTTGAGGTATGCCAAAAAACTAAAGTGGAAATGGGCAGGCCACGTAGCGAGGCTTGCAGACCAGAGATGGACCGTGAAAACTACCCCGTGGAGTGGTCCACGAGGAAAACGAAGTAGAGGAAGACCACTCACTCGCTGGGAAGACGAATTTATTAAGAAAACAAACGGCTCAAACTGGAGCCAAATAGCACAGAAACGACACAAATGGGAAACTTTGGAGGGGGCCTTCACCAAATCTTTGGTTCTTGCAGACGAAGGATAGGAGTAAAAATGTAAATGATGTACCTATAATGCAAGAAATTAAAGGCTTTTTATTTATAGTAAAAACAATACGAAATACATAAATATACACGAATTTTGTTTTATGCTGTCATTTTCTACAGATTATTTAAAACAATAATACAAATTATTTAAAACAACACTTGGATAAACATTACTCAAACTTTTGGTATCGGCTGTCAATGACAAAATTAAAAGTATACAAAGCCGGACTCGAACGATTTAATAGGTAATTTATAAATGTTATTAAAAATGACGTTTCCATATCTGACTAGCATAACGGCAAAGCAAGAATTACATATCATGCTTATAAAACTATTTTTATGTTGTCACATAATTGCAGAGCCAGGTTAAGCTCCGCTGTTTTTGCAATTAGGAAGGTTAGGCAGCTATCAGACATCGACACTGCCAGACTTGTTTACTTCAGTTATTTTCACAGCATCTTGTCGTACGG